GTGTGTGTGTGTGTGTGTGTGTGTGTGTGTGTGTGTGTGTGTGTGTGCGTATATATATCAACTCTCGTTTGCACTGAAATAAAGACAGGCCACCAATTGACCTGTGTGTATGTCTCCGTATATTCCAAAAATACTCTGTATTTATAGTAATAAAGATAATATCTCTAAAAATGGCGTGCTGTTCCATTCGGTCGTGTGGGGGGAAAACAGCAAAACATCTAATTACAAAACAAACAGAATCAAATTTCATCGGTAATTAAATATTAAATATGTAATTTTGCAATTTTCGTCCATTATAGCAAAACTCGAGTTAACTAGTTGATTTGAAGTGAAACAATTGACGACACCCGTCAACTGTTTCGAATTCGGGCTGGCCAATCGAAGCGCAATTGTCACAGATAAGGCAGAATAGTTTTCAAACAATTGAAATTACATTTCGCCTCTATTTCTGGTTATATTCTCGACCAGAGGGAAAATCCTATTGAATATTAAATAATAAATGAATTCGACACATATATTGCTCCGATCCCAATCGAAATCGGAAATCGGAAACGACGACGGTACCACAAACACTTAGATCAGAGACAATATAGAAGAGTTAGTTTTTCTACATGAAGCCCGCCGGGCGAGTCAGAAATGGCACCGACACCATGAAAACCAGTGTACAAGCTACTAAATCACAGAGTTCGTCTAATAGTTTAGCTAAATTAAACCCTCAATTCTGATCATTGATATACAATCTTATTGCTCGGCAGCAGAAATGGAGAAGGTAGCAGTACTGCCACAGACGAACTTTTCATAAGATGTTCTACTGCTACTAGACCCGCCAACGTAAAATACCCCACCGCTAGTATAATAATTGCTCATGTTGTAAAACAATTTCTTTAAACATAGCAAATGGCTCTGCCATTACTTCTCATTATTTTACTAGAACGTGTGAGTTATTATAATCTTTTCTAAAACATCCTGAATATCATCATAATAAATTTCCACATAATTGTAAAACAAAAAAATCATTATTCATGCTCAAACGATCTAATAACGTTCATTCGACGATTCGCACGGAAATTTCAAACTTTTTGTCAATAAAGAAAACAAAGTATGTTTAAAAAAAATATATAATAAAAATATATATAATATAGGAGTAGCAATGTGATAACCTAAAATAAAATAAAATACTACATTTTATTAATGAGCAATGTCAGTACCGAGTACTAAAAAACCGACCTCAAAAGTCATTAAACCCCTAGTTTGCCGCTCTTAGAGGTGGAATATTTTCTTCAAATATAAACGGGATCATTACTTTAGGTACCCTCTTTATAACAAAAAAAGAATCATCAAAATCGATTCATAAATGCCGTTACCATAGAGTTATAGCGCAACACACGTACAAAAAAAAACATAAACAACTTCCTCCCTATTTAGAAGTCAGTTGAAAAACAATAGAAGAATATATAATACTAATACAGTTTTACGACTAATACACAGTAGACTATAATTTGTTATCATTATAATTATTAAAGTTAAAACCCGTGAAGCTTATTATTTTATAATGTTTATTACTCCTAAATTCTCTACGGCGTAAACTTAAAATTGTGTACGTTGGTTTTTTAAAAGAAAAAGCACCTGTTAAAAAGACTATGTCCACAAAATCTTTATTCAAACCAAATCGATCAAAATAAATACAACAACACTTAGAAATAGGGTTAGTATTGCAAATTTACTGCCATTTTTTGTATAATTCCATATCAATTCGGCACTAATTTTCGCGTAAAACCACAATTTTTCGCATTCAGTTCAAAGCTATCAACACGAGCGTTAACGAACATTCCAGAAGCTGGTAGCTATAACAATATCCTGAATATTATTTAGGTATATAGAACTCGTTTTAGGCTCTTTAGTAAACTACACCTGAACGTATGAACAGTGATCGCTGATCACATTTATAAAAATGAAAAAGGTGTTAATGAATTCACTCTCTTGGTATAATAAATATAGGATCGTATTCCAGAACTCTACCCAATGCTCAAGTCAGGATTTGAGCAGACTTGAGTATGATTTGAAGCACTGGAAATACGACCCTTTTTTTTTCTTTATTTATTTTTTTTTTTTTTTTTTGACGGGGGGAAATCTTTATGGATACCCCTGAGCCCAGGGAGACTCAGGGGTTATGTGGGGACTCTCCCTCCAGACTGGAGGGCCTACCCCACTAAAACCCCCCCGGGTTTCCCTCTCGCCGGTTGAGTCGGCGCCGTGGGATCAGTGAACATTCACCACGACGCCGCCCGGCCGCCCTAGCTTACGCCAGGGTTCCCGCGCCAACGGAGGGGCGAGTCGGTTGTCCGCCGACCCGCCCCCCAGACGAGTGAGGCCGTGCAATGCAGGCTCCGGAGTCCCTGTCCAGAGCCCGCTGGTCTCACTAGGGGATCAGGCGAGCAGCGAACTGCCTTCGCCTTCTCCCCGTACGTCTGCGCCGGAGCGGGTGCGCGTCCGCCGCGTCCTCGCACACCCGCTCCGCGGCCTCCTTTTGCGACATAACCTCTGCGCAAAAGGAGGCCACCGCCTCCCAGGACTCCTCGCTATCGAGCATGGCGGCAACCACGCTCGGCAGCGAGAGGTCCTGCCCTACAGTCCCCGTCAGAGTGCGGCGCTGCTCATCCCACCGGCTACACACCTCTAGGGTGTGCTGCGCGGTGTCATCCGCAGCGCCGCACTCGTGGCACGACGGGGACGGTTCCCTCCTCGCCACCTTGTGCAGGTAGTGGAAATACGACCCTAATGGCAAGGACTTGAGTATAATTTTCAGTGCTCACTGCAATACTCAAGTCCTGACTTGAGTATTGAGTAGAGTTCTGGAATACGACCCATAGAGAGATTAAAAAGAGTATAGAATAAAAAGAGAGATTTAAATATTTTACGAAACGAATAAATAAATATTATCTATAGTCCATTTGTACCTAAACTTAACTAAATGTGAACAATATTGATATTGGTATGCTGTAGAAATCAATATGTATAAAAATAGACTTGCAATTTCATATGAAACTAAGTTTTTGCATTTTGTTTTTGAAGGTAAGTGAAAATCATTTTATAAATGTATATTTCAATAAATAGACATCTCAAGATTGTTTACATTTAGTTAAGTAGGTACCTAAACAGATGAACTATAGACAACATCACACACGTTGCTTTGATCCCAAAGTAAATAACTAAAGCACTTGCGTTATGGAAATTAGAAACAACGACGGAAATTAGAAAAGTTAGTTTCTTCATTGACCCGGCCAGGGATCGAACCCGGGAGCTCAGAGACGGAGACACCTCGAAAACTGGTGTGCAAGCGACTCGACTACGGAAGTCATCAAAATTGATCTATAACTTTTTATGCTTATATAGAAAAGTTATAAATTTTCCCAAGCATTAAGCATAGTTTTAAACAATGTTCTATTTTTGAAATACTAAATATTT